AAAAATAAATAAACGTTAAAAAAATTTAAAAAAAAAAAAAAAGTATGGCTAGTATGGTTTTATATATATCCCAGCTTCATCCTCTCATTTGTCCCTCTCCATTTGTTTATTTATGTCAGCAGTTTAAAAAAGTTATTCCAAAAGATGGGTTTTTTTCTCCTTTAGAATCAAAAGCCTACCTCGGAAGAGATCACCATGATTGCTGATCAGCTCAGTATGGAAAAAGAGGTGATTCGTGTTTGGTTTTGTAACCGCCGCCAGAAAGAAAAAAGAATCAACCCACCGAGCAGTGGTGGGACCAGCAGCTCACCTATCAAAGCAATTTTCCCCAGTCCAACCTCACTGGTAAGGATAAAAAATAGAGGACGCAAGCTCAGGGACTAATTTTTATAATTTTACAAATGATCTATGAAATCAGTTTATTTCATAATACTAATTTATTGTGTATATGTATTCATGCTAAGTATGTATAAACTTGTATTTTAAATGTCGCCAAGGTAATTCAGTCTCGTGTCGTCGTTAAGCCAAGAACTTGCTGATCTTTCTTTCTTAAAGTGAACAATTTTAATTCTTTCCTATTTCATGGTGGCTCCATTATTCTCTTCTCTAGTGTGGTTTATAGGTTACTCTGCAACTGTGGGAGCAAATTTGCTGCTGACTCCAGTTAGCTTAAAAAAAATCTTTAGTTGCTTCTTATTCACGTTGGGTTTTAAAGCCCGTATTATTAAAGTTACGTGACTAAGTCACAGCAAATTCCGAGATAATGATTAGCTCTGAACTTGTATTAAAACAACCGTCTCCTGTCTTCACCCTCAGACATGTAGGCCTTTCACTGATAAGCTCATTGAGTAACTTCCGCCGATTGCTCTAGAACAGTATTCTAGGCTGAGGGGGTGTTCCCTACTGCTGCAACTCCCTTGAGCTTAAGGACGACCGCAAATGTGAGTCCACACTTCCAACCAGAAATTCCAGAGCTGGAAAGATTGTGGAGTTTGCATTTCTGAGCTTTCCTTGTTAATGTGTCTTATATCACTTGAATGTCATTCTATCCGGGGATGCTTTTTAAACTAACTTCACCATTAAGAGTGCCCATGGAGCTGTGAAGTGAAGGTTGTGATTGTTGATTAGCAGGGCTTTCGTCATGAAGTTCATAAGACCGCAGTTAGGACAGCTTCTCAGGCACTAGATACAGTTCTGTTTTATGTAGGTGACGATTTTGTGTTTGGGTTTTATTTGTACTAAAAGGAAGACAGACAGTATTTCTTACAAAACTGTGGAAATACTTTGTTGTTTCAAAAAGAAACTGTCAGTTTTTAAAATTTTTGCTTCACCTTCTTTCCATGCTATCATTTCATTAAGAAACAAAAACAAGACAGTCTTGTCCCCACAGGGTCAGAAAAGAAAAAGAAATCTCAGAACCCCTGATTCCCTGATCCCGTTGAATAGTTTTCCTGTGTAGATTAAGTTGATAAATAGCATAGTATTCCTTCCTTGCCTGTAGTATATCTGACTCCACATTATTGGAATTAAGGAATTTTTTTATTATTTCTTTTAAAACCCTCGGCAGAGCCATTTCTAGTATCAGTGAAAAACCATCTTCTAATAGCCACCTTCATACGTAGGTCTGTTTTCTCAATTCAAAGATCAAAAAATGATTATAAAATTATTTCCTCTTAGGCCTTTTTAATTATGTTGTATCTGAAATTTGAACATTTTTATAGGCAAAATACGTCTTTGATGTGGATTTTAAAGTTTTGATTTTTTTAACTGCTTTTGCATATTTTCACTTCTGGCCTCTAGGTGGCAACCACGCCAAGCCTTGTGACTAGCAGTGCGGCCACGACCCTCACTGTCAACCCGGTCCTCCCACTAAGCAGCGCTGCGGTCACGAGCCTGTCTGTCACAGGTAAGCAGCCGCCTGGCTGAGCAGCTGTTGGACACATGGTGGGCCCGTGACAGGTCTCTCTGAGAACTGTGAACTAAATTGTGAATTAGGGCTCTGACTGCAACTTTTTTTTGAAAGGCCCTGTACGAAAACCTGAACTCCAGAAAACAGGCATAATTAATTTCGTCAGAAAGAATTCTCTCACATAAAGATTTTCTTGTCTGTTCTGTTCTTTCCCACATTACTCTTATCTTCGACATTGCTCCCGGAGTTATCTTTCAAAACTCCCAACTTTTTTCCAAGTAACTCCTCTCCTTAAAAACTTTCTTGCAGTGGCTACAGCTTTTTGTATTCAGGAAAGCATCCAGATTGATCATCAGTTCATCGAAGGTTATTTCCAGTCGGGATCTTATCTTCCACTAGTCTTTTGTCCCTTTCATCCTCAACACACGGGAAGGTTCCATCCATCCTTTTGTAAATATCCCCACAGCCTACAACACTACCCCAGCCTGCACTTCTTTCTGAAAGCAGTGAAACTGCTCCAGCTTAGGTATCAGTTCTTTCTGGAAATACTCTTTAGCCTGCCCAGGAAACTCTTCATTCCCACCTGATTGTATTTCTTGTACTTCTGTCTTTCTCAATAGATTTTGCACTTCCCAAAAGATCTGAATATTCTTTTTGCAATCTCAGTGCCTAGTTTGGTGCCTGATGCATTCGTTATAAAATGAATAAACTTTTTTCCTTTGGCCTCCTTTAAAAAACACATTTCCCAAGTACATTTAAAATAACTTAGGGGCGCCCGGGTGGCTCAGTGGGTTGGGCGTCCGACTTCGGCTTAGGTCATGATCTCACGGCTTGTGGGTCCGAGCCCCGCGTCGGGCTCTGTGCTGACGGCCCAGAGCCTGGAGTCTGCTTCAGGTTCTGTGTCTCCCTCTCTCTCTGCCCCTCCCCTGCTCATGCTCTCTCTCCTTCAAAAATAAACAAACATTAAAAAAAAAAAACTTTAAAAAAAGTTTTAATTGAAAAGAAAAACTTTTTAACTTTTAAAAAAAGTTTTATTTTAAATAAATAAAATAAAATAACTTAGTGTTGGTGCACCTGAGTAGCTTAGTTGGGTAAGTTTCTGGCCTTGATTTCAGCTCAGGTCATGATCTCACAGTTTGTGAGATCAAGCCCCGTGTTGGGCTCTGCACTGACAGCGTAGAGCCTGCTTGGGATTCTCTCTTTCCCTCTCTCTTCCCCTCCCCTGCCCTCACAGTCTCTGCCTCTCAAAATAAATAAGTAAAAACTTTAAAAAAGAATAAAACAAAACAACTTAGTGTTGTCATCAGAAGTTTTTTAGGGGCACCTGGGTGGCTCAGTCGGTTAAGTGTCCAACTTCAGCTCGGGTCATGATTTCACAGTTTGTGGCTTCAAGCCCTGTGTCGGGCTGTGTGCTGACAGCTCAGAGCCTGGAGCCTGCTTCGGATTCTGTGTCTCCCTCTCTCTCTCTGCCCCTCCCCCACTTGCTCTCTGTCTCTGTCTCACTCAAAAAAATGAGTAAACACTAAAAAAATAATAAAATAAGTTTTTTAGTGATATATGATGCATAAGGCATCCTATAATTATTCACCAGGCTGACTATGTGCTAGTAAATCGTCGAATGGATTTGTGATATTTCACAGTCAAGCTTGAATTTAACCTAGAGCTGGGGAATTTGATTTTCTTCACCCATGTTTTGAGTTTGTTATAACACTTCTTTGCCTCTATGATCTAACTGAATGGCTTCATATAGTTATTAAGTTTCTAAGTTACTAGGAAATCTCATAACTTTATTTATTTAGAGTAGTACTTCTGGACCTCTTTTGGGTCTTAGAGCTCTTTGAAAGTTTGATGCAAGCTTTAAACTTTTCCCCTCACAAAAGAGACACACCCACAAGTTTTAGTAAAATACTAAGGATGTTCATAAATGACAACCCCCATCAGTCCCCACCTCACAAAAGCCATTTTTGGATGCCGTAGGAGTAGAGATTGCAAGCTAAGAACCCATGTTTGAGAGTACATAGTATTCAGCACTTCGGCTTAAGCCAACTGGTGGTGATTGATTGCTGTTGTGTTGGGCATCAGGAACACGAAATTCCTGCATCTGAGGAGCCCACCATCCACCCTGACTGCCATCATCTGTTCACCTTCCCAACAAATTGTAAGTCCTGTTACGTTAGGTCTTACGTTTTCTTTTGCAGAAAAATTCCTAATAGTTCAAGCATTAAGAACAAGTAGCTTTGCAGATTTCCTAAAAATGTCGCAACAAATCTGAAACAGAAGGTAATTTTTAGGAGATACACAGACTCAATCTAGCTAAAACTTTTCTGTCAGTTTTTGATGATCCTAGCTGGCCAGTCATATTTTCCTAAACTCGGTTACTCAGCCCATTTATGTGGATTTAATTATAACTATTTTCTGAAATGTTGGTAACTTTTTTTGGAGTGAGTTTTTTTCTTCAGTTCTTAAAAAGTTGGAACGTTATAAGAAACTCAAATAGGCAAAACAGTCACAATGAACTATTTTTATCCTGCCTTTAAAACATTTTTTTATATATATGGGCAATTCTAATAGTGTTTAATGTGTCCTACTTTTTTTTTTCACTTCTCATCTTACAGTATCATCCCTGTTACAGTTTTTTACATTTCTACCTTTTTTTATAATCTTTTTTTCTTTTTTTTCGATGTTTATTTATTTTGAGAGACAGAGACAGTGTAAGTGGGGGAGGGGCAGAGAGAGAGAGAGAGAGAGAGAGGGAGAGAAAGAATCCCAAGCAGGCTCCAGTGCAGAGCCTGATGTGGGGCTCAAACCCACGAACCGTGGGATCATGACCTGAGCCGAAATCAAGAGTTGGATGCTTAACTGACTGAGCCACCCAGGTGCCCCTACATTTCTACTTTTGATTTGCCCTTATTGTATTGAATGGTTGTACCAGAATTTCGTAAACATTTCCATGTAATGCTATGATGGTTAAGTTGTACCTACAATGACCAGCTTTTCCATTGGAGTCCCACAAATATTGCATCCCAAGAAACCCCTCAGTCTCCCAGCCACAGAACTTATCTTTCTTGTTCGATATGATTGTATTCTTCCTATCTAGCATACCATCTAGAATGTAAGCTACCCAGTAATTATTAAAGGAATGAAGTTTTCACTTATAAGTAATGCTATAATGAGGACCTTTGTACAAAACAGTTTTCTTAAGTTCTTTATTTTTAGGTAATTTCAGATGTACGGAAAAGTTGCAAGAATAGTTCAGACAAATACCAAATCTCTTCCCTTAGATTCTCCAAATGTGAAAATCTTACTGTATTTGCTTTTTCTTTCCTTTTGCTGTTTCTCTTTCTGTGTATGTGTTTTTCTGAACTGCTTTAAGAGCAAGTGGTGGACATGCTGCTTTACCTGTAACTACTTCATTGTGTGTTACCTAAAAAAATAAATTACCATATATAACCAGAATACAGTTACCAAAAATCAGGAAATTAACATTGAGTCAGCACTAATATCTAGTAAACAACTCACATTCATATTTTGCCAGTTGTGCCAGTAATGTCTCTTAAAACGCAAGAAGATCTTTGTTTTTTCAATGTTTGTTTATTTTTTGAGAGAGAGAGACCGAGTGTGAGTGGGGAGGGGCGGAGAAGCCACAAACGGGGAGATTATGACCCGAGATGAAGTCAGACACTTAACCGACTGAGCCACCCAGGTGCCCCTAGCCCGAGAAAATCTTAAATCATGCATTGCATTCAGTTACTGTGTTTCTTTAGTCTTATTAAACTGGGGACAATGTGCGTCCTTCGTAGTACTTTAGTACATTGATTGTTTTGAAGAGCGTAGCTGTTTACTTTGTAGATGTTTTGTCTCACATTTCCTCCTGATTAGATTCAGATAACGCACTTTGGGCGAGAATACCACAGAAGTGACACTGAGTTCTCCTTTGTGCATGATATGAACACACATGTTGTTTATTGATCCTACTACTGCTGGTATTAACTTTGATAATTTTATTAAGGTGGTATAGGTCAGGATTCTCCATTGCATAGTTATTATTTTATTCCTCATAGTAAATGAGGGATTTGAGACTGTACAGATACCCTGTTTTTTTCTCAAACCTTTGTCCACTAGTGTCCATTGATGATTTTTGCACGGATCTGTTATGATTCTCAAATAACTGTGTGATTTCTTCTACATTTATTAGTTGCCTTCCTTACCTTTTTCCATATGTTAACTCCCTTATCAGTGACCATGAGAAACCTGGCTCTTGTTATTTAACAAGATCGTTAACTGCTCAAACCTGTAGTGAAAACACAGTGGTTTCAAAATTGCTAGCCCACGTTTCTGAACAGAAAAGGCCTACTAATTGGAGTTCCATGTTTGTTTAGAGTTCTTGTCTTTAACCTGAAGGTATGTAGTCCGAATACTGTGCTCAGAAGTTCTTTCGATTAGGTCTTTTTATATAGCCTCTTCAGTGTAGTTACATTATTCATTTGAAATTCCGTTTGTTTTGCTTGTTTTCAACATTAGTGTTGTTCCTCTCATCCTTGTGGATTTTTTTTTTAAGTACGTGGGATAATAGCATATCATCAATCATTGATTTCAAAAGTCAGGACTATACAGTAATTTCTCTTCAGAATAATGTCATTCCCTTCTATTGTAATTCTCTTTCTCTGACAAGTGAGCTTGGAATCTCAGGGCTCTGTTGAGGCGAATAATTCTCACCTCTGTCATAGTCTTCTACTGTGTCCTTCCGGACTCTGGTTGGTTTCCCTACCACCTAATCCCAACCTCTTTCTCATTTCTGCAAATCTCTCAAAATCTCAAGTTTTCTGATACCTGTCCCCAGAGTTCTTACTCCCTTTTCTTTAACCATCATCTGGGATAGGATTTTAGGAACGAAGCGAAAAAACCATATCCTCACTCTGCCGTCTTCTAAGAGAAATCTTGTCTGATTGACACATTCTCATTTTCCAGTATTTAGCATAGTGCTTGGCACATTGAAG